TAAATACAGCCTCGACCAGTTCTAAAACCAGCCTGGTTCGCACGCGTACGACGTTCACGTGCGGCAGACAATTGACGGAGTATGATCCCGGTGATAAGTTTAGAGGCAATGCTGATTAAACTAATTCCTCTGTGGTTTTCACAGGAAGATCTATCACCTTTCTTGTAAATCGGTATGACCAATTCAAACCATTCATCTGGAACCGTTTCCCTCTCTCACACTGAGCTCAGGAGTTTCGTTAACTTCGAAACCAATGCTAAATCTCCATTCTTAAAAATGGATGGGGAGAGCCCGTCTAGGCCGGAAGTTTTATGCCTTTTGAGACAACTTGTTTCCCGGGAAACCTCCATTTCGGATAGAGGACTGGTATCGACTGGCAGAATTTGCTCAGTCGCGGTGAAGGGTGATAGTTCAGATAGTTCAGATGTCGATGGGGGCCAGTTGAACTGAGCCTCGAAATGTTCAGCCCATCGATCGTTGATCGTGAATCAGTGTGCCATCGGATTCCCTTATTGCCTCGCTTACGCATATTTTCCTAGGACCCGTATTCCTAATTAGACGGAAAAGATTGCGACTATTTCCAATAGCCGCAGCCTTCTCCTTCTCTCTACACTTTCTTATCCATCACTTCTCGCAGTTATTCCTCAGATTCTTGATGAGCTGGCGTTTAAGGGATTTACTCGCTGTGTCATATGCGGCATCGGGAGGAAGGGTTCTGCGGGCGTCCAGCACGGCAACCGAGGTCGATGAGGTCCATCGTGTGTTTTGAGCCCGGTTTTATACCACGAGGACCTTATGTGATTCGCCACTCCAAGTCCCGGGGCTTAGGTTACCGGTTACCCTCACTGAACAGCAGGTCTTCGTGCCTATGGGGTCCGCCTCAACTACTGTTCATCAAACACTGGTGTGTCACAAAAAAAGAAAGTTGGTACCGTAGTCTCTCGTTCATAGTGTTCATCTGGGAAAAGTTATTGGTGAGTTGGCGATAATGGTGTGCGGGTCTGCAACTTTGCAGGCTATTGAACCTTTAGTGTCTGGACCAATGATGTCCACTAATACGTACGTCGAGCAACGGACGAAGGAACGAAACAAAAAGAGCATGACTGATATCACGAAATCTCAACCACGGTTGTATTGGTATGATATGTAAAGCAGAGAGAAAGAGAAGCGTGCAGAAGGGGAAATTCAATGTGCCATGACCAACTTGGTAGTTTTGGTGCGGTAAAACAACAGACTGCAAATATGGGAAAGGTACATGTGCGGAGAGGGTTAATGTTGTCAATACAAACCACGAGTAACCAGTTTCATCACTTAATTTACTGCGGCTGGCTCCTTGGAAAGGATAATCCGTCTCCAGATATATTCGTGCTCATGAAGTTACTTGGTAGTTTAGTACGAGAGGCGTCCCCAGCGTCACTCGGCGTTTTTTTTTATTTCGAGCGCGCACCTCTACCCTTTACACAACCAGGTGCAAACTGCAAGGCAGCAAGAAGTAATCCATCTCCTCGGAAGTGAGGGGGGTGGGGGTAGGGCAAAGACTTTAGTTTTAAAAGGCCAATCACATCAACCTTTGTCACGACGCCGTCACTGTGTTTATGTGGCTTTTTATTAAACAGGATCCAGGTGACCAGCCTGTAACCCACCACACCCTGGTAGTGCCTTCGCTGTTTGTTCGCGACTGCCTATTTGTTGTGGTATGCCACAACTTATTCGGTGAATGTATCCTCCTATCCACAACCCGGGGACGTGCCTGGTAGAATTCAGCTCTGCTTAACTCGAGGGTATTCAGTTGCATCAATCAATCACCGCTATTCCTATTCCCTTAAAGGCTGACCAAATTCACAATGCCCGGTTCACTTTTAACTATCCGTCATACTGTCGAATATGCATTCAGTTTGGTTTTATTTCAGAAATGATCGAAAACTCTGATCAACCAGACGAACCGAAATACAAACTATCCAGTTTCCTTTTCGGTAATGTGGACAAACAAGGAGAAATCGAAGAGTATAAAAATGACGAGGATTTGAAAGCCATCAACAATATTGATCAGTGTCATGTAAAGGAAGTTGAGGAAACTACGCAACTCGTGCTAGCTCCCGATTCGAATACTTTGAATGAGTCCGATTCTGTTCAGCCCATTCAACTCTCCTCCGATGTGCATGTAATGCCTGTCGATTATTATGACGAACAGGAAGCGGTACCAGATGAGTTGATAGATCTGAAAGAAATTGAACACAGGGATGAACTAATCGCACGGTCAAAGGTTACGGACGAGGTAAGCTATTTTGCTTCAAGTAATGTGAAGTGATTTCAAAAATATTAGCTTATCAAATGATCCGTGTTTGCCAGGTTTACGTTAAAAGAAAATTTAATCAACAACTTGACTCCAAAATCACGATAACTTGACTTCAGTTTTCATCCTGCATAATATGACTGTGTAATTCTGTGCGCCGGTCGTAAATCATCGCCTCCTCGCTAATCGATCCATAAAATGTAATTGTGGTCATCGCTGAGATTTCACCTCCTGGAATCAAACAGATGTATGTTTGTGTGCGTGCGTGATAAATGCATTGCAGTTGATTGTTTTATCTAGTCAGAGAGCCGTAAAGCGTAATCAACCGTTCGTTTTTGATTTAGTGAGTTTACTCTGTTTTTTCACATTTATTCACTTGTGATTGCTCATTTCATAGTTCTTTGTTCCATTAAAAGGATGAATATGACGAGGTACCAGAACCAGAGACGACCAATTCTGACTTGGGTAATCACCAATCTGTTGATGGTTTCACATCCGCATCTTCGACTGAGGCAGTGGATGCCAACTCCAACGTTCCAGCTGACTCAACCCCTACGAGGAAGTGTTCGACTCCATCTTTTCTGGACTCGGGAACACCATCTCCAGCTGCTGATGGAATCAGATATGATAAAATAGAAGCAGACAACGATACTGCAACTGAATCTAATCAGATTTCACCCCGGTCACACACGGAACCCTGTATCAAACTGAGTGATGATGAAGATGCGTCCAGTAGGATGCCACCTCCGCTGCGTCCCGCTCCCGTCTCCTTGTCCAGACAACATCCGTCCAAGGTATGTAATTGCTATTTCTCTGCTTGACTGGTATGGTGCATTTTTCGTTCTGTTCCCCTCTAGCAGACGTGAGTATTCAATTGTCATGCTGTCACTGATCTCAAAAGCACAGCTACTCTATCAAAACTGTTTGTGTCTATCATTCTGCCGAGTAATTTAAATTAGGTTTAGTTTGGAATCCTCAGTATTATCTGGGATGAGTTTCTTAAGTTGTCGCTAGTCACCTTTCCCTTGTACCTTGCGAAACTCTGCACTATAACCAAGTGTCTCAAGTAGCCTGTGCTGAGGAAACCCCAATCACTGTCATCCCGTGACGTAGCTGTATTTTTTTCTCTCTCTCTCACTAAAGTGAGAGGACAAAAAAACCAATATCTGATGCGCTAGTCAAGTCGATGAACCACTCACTAGTAGTTCACCTTGGGCAGTTGGTTTTATACTCTGATTCCAAACCAAAAGAGGAACAGGCTTATGAGTCAGACACACGTACTCTGCCCGAAGGACATATGATCCGATGATTTGAACCAGCGGNTTTTCATGCACCGTTCCACTCACTGCGTTGCAGGTTAGACTTTGACCGGCCACAGGCTCCGACTATCAGTTCCCCAAGAAAATTCATCCACTTTGACCTGAGCAACCTGGAACTATCCGGCTCAGCAACAAACAATGAACTTTTCCCCTTAATATCACAATTATTGTACCATGGTTTATTCGCAACAGTCTGGACCCAGACATGTGAGAAGTANTGAGAAGTATAATAATAATAATAATAATAATAATAATACAGTGAATAAAAACTATACTGTAGCATTCAATTAAGAGCCTAGGTTTCTGTATTTACATCATGCATGCACTGGGTTATTAGTATATCCAGTTTTCCAATCGATTTTGTAAATAGCTAGCTATATTGACTTGCGCAGCATGTGAACAAAAGGTCACTTTTGCTAACCCAAAGAGCTTTCAGAAAGTTAAAGCTTTTCGATTGTGAAATTGCATTGATAAAGTGTACCCACGGTAACCGAAACGTCGATTTATTTTCACCTGTACCGATATCGCTGTATTTTCACAATTACAACTTATATGAAACATATCACATAGCGCATCGATTTTTCGATACGCCCCGAACGTCGTTCGGATCTGACACAATTAAAGCTTTTCTGTTAGGCATGTGCTGACACTTGCTTCCGTTCTTTATTCTCTTAGACTGTTTCTTCTCGTGGACCAGAATCACCAAGCAGCGCTGGTGTTGGTACATTATCCTCTCCGATCCCAACTCGTGTGGACAGCCCGGCAACGGATCGGACAGTCAGTCCATCCTCACTAAACGACCCGGTGACACTGAACACTCCTTTGGGTAGTTTGATGCCCATAGAATACGCGAATGTGGAAATCACCGAACTGTTCCCGCATTACGATCCTGGTCGTACGCCTCGTTGGAGTCGTCTGTTCCGGTTACCTCACGCACCGAGCACCTATCGTGAATTCATTGAACGCGCTCCATTATTGAACAGTCTCTTAGAGGAACGAACTGCACGTAGCATGGACCGGTAAGCTGTGAAACGAATCATCCCTCATCGGTTACTAATCCATTCATCCTGTTACTGATTGAGTTGAACTGAATATCCTTCAGAATTCACTTTCGCGCACCATCCTCAGTTCATCCAGTCAACCATACACTCGGAAGAACCATAGACTCGAGTCTCGCTCTTATTAGAGCTCATCAGTAGTGCATATCCGCCGACCCGTCCGGGGGTGGAACTCCGGACTTTCAGTTAGAGTTATCAGATTGTCCTCTGTCGGGCTGTCGGGCCAAATGAACTGACTATCACTGAAGATGACACCGGAACAAACATGAATTCGTAATTTGGTTCAGCCCCGCGGTATGAGCTGGTCGGCACAGTGGTAACATACACGTCTTCCATGCGATGGATGCGTAGTGCAAATTCCGGACGGGACGGTACATATTCACTACTAATGAGCTATCATAAGAGCAAAACTCGAGTCTACGGTGCTTCCTAGTGTATGGTCGAATCGATGAACTGAAGATTGTGCGCGTAGGTGAAATCCGGAGGATAGTCAATTCAAATCAATCAATATCAATTATCCCACACACACTACTCACAAGTAACTGTGAGTTGAATGCGAATATTCCGTTACTGCTGTTTTTTCCTCGAGTCGCAATCAATCCATCAGTTTAGCTAAGTTTTCAATAGATTCCCGCCCCCTCCGTCCCGATTAATCCTGATTTCCTCACTTCGATTGCATGACCCCATTTTTCTTGTGTCATTTATTAGGCTCCATTTGATGTACAATGACTATTTGGATCTGGGTCAGGTTCCGTTAGAATCAGAAATTGTGCTGCACGACGAAGTAGAAGAGCTGAACACACCTCTACCTCCTGGTTCAGATTGTTTGGCTGGTCACGAAAAATCCTGGTGGCGTCGTGCATTCACGGCTGCCCTGGCCGAGGTGACCGATTCGAACGGACAAAGAATCACCGGTGGGAAATCAGCGGCTAATGATGGATCCGCTGTGGATGAGTCATCCGAATCCCGGACGGGGAAATCTGTTGGGAAAGGAAACGCGACAAGTTCAGTCGGTCAATCGAACACGGATTCGAAGGACTTGTCAGATTCGGTCGCGCTTGCGAGCAAAGACCCGAACGGAGAGAATGGTGGTGACAAAATTATGTCCCACGAAGAACTGTGAGTTGAACTCGACTGATCGCGATTTGTGTATATGAATCAGATGTTATTTGGATTCGTGTATTTCATTCCTGTTGGGTCATAATTGTCCGTTTTTGCGGTTAGTTTGAAATCTATTCCTTTTTACAGTTGCAGTCGTTCTCAAGTGTGTTGGGTCTATCCGTCCACCGCTGTTGTCTGATCGCTAATTGATCAATTTCCTGCATTTTTGCATCAATTCTCAACCTTTTGTCTGTATTCCCTCATTGCATAATACCGTACACATCATTCGTTGGAGTCTCGGTTATGTCCTCAGCCCATCGGAGCTATGTGCATCATCTTACATTTTGTGCTCTTTCGTCAGAGTTGCGCAAGTCTTTGTGTGAGAGATCAATACTGAACTACACAACAATCGGTTCCTCTAAATTAATGTGAAGTTAGTGAATGTTTGGATATGTCCACTATATGTACACGTTTCTTCAGTACAGATATATACACACTTGACTCGAGGCACCAGGCGATGGACAAAGGGAGGGAGAGAGAGACAGAGAGAGAGAGAGAGTACCGTGCCTGTTTCTCTCTGTGTTGATCAAGATGCTCGACCATGTGCAGGATAACAGATGCCAGTAGAAAAGTGGTACTCTTACCATCCACCATACTTCATTCAGCATTGCAATCATCGCATATCTGTTTATTGATGTCTTGTTCGGTTAACGGCACTTCGATTTTCACCATGTATGCGAAATAAGTAAGTAGTATTTAAGTAGTATTTCGAATTTACGATCAATTACAAAAGACAACAAATTGGACACGCAAACACCAGAGAGCAGAATGCACGAACAGAGATCTGGAACAGAAGTTTATCACCAAATTCGTTCTCCGTACATTTGCAAACATTCACGAACGTATCGGTCCGTCGGAAAGAAGGGAGAAGCAAGAGGTACAGTGGAAATAGTTACTATTGAATTTCGCGTATCAAGCTTGGATTAGCCCATTCGATTGTTTAGAGACACTAGGCACTCTTCATGGTCTTCATGGTGTGCGTTTCACTCCTTGGGAGATCGTTCATTCCCCACAAGGTAATGTATTCAAATGCGACGGAGATGTTTGTGATAACCGACACAAAGAGCAGTCAGTGGACAGCTGTTTCGTCCCGGTTTTTTTGAGGGCGGAGGAGGGCCTCGTCAGCGGTTCCCGTCCCGACAGGGACACACACAAAGTTACCATTAAAGTTCGTAAACAGTCTAGTCAAGTCAAGAAATTGCTTTATCACACCATCTGATGTGAAATCCGGTTGCCAAGTACCCCACAAAAATGAAGATATGTATAAGTACACTAAGTTTAAGGAATTAACTGAAGATTGGAAAACAAATCCTGCAAATCCGGGTGGCGTAAAAGGCGAGCAAGATGTGGAACTGTGAAAGAGTAGTCTGCTTTTGTGCATACTTGAACGTATGTAGAGAGCGCGTAGAACAGACTGAACCACATTTAGGTAGTGCAAAGTTACAAGGTTGACTGGAATCAGACAGTATTTTGTGGGCTAGTTGTTGTTCACAGGCTTTGTTTTCTTGAATGACAACGGGATGGATAATGTGAGTTTTAGATAAACATCTGATTGATCGGGATATTGTTTTGCAATAAACCAGGAAAATGCACGGGGTGAGGGGAGGGGGGAGCTAGACATAGAGCCAGTGTGGTAAGATGTACAAACAATTCTATCAGATCGGGGAGA